GAACGTGCAGATCTGTCCTCACAGAGGAGGGAGAACTTGTACCTGAATAAACCTTGGTCTTAAAGGTGCCACTGGACTGTTTTGGGCTGGGGGGAGCTCTGCAACTTACCTGGCTGCTTCTTGTTCTGACTGAGGGCTGCTGGGAGCAGGGGGTGGGGCTTGTTGCATGTGCCCGCCCCCTGGGCTCTTTACTGCCGGAGCTCCACTCCTGTGCGCTCCTGCAGAAAATGACCCCTGGTATCCACCAACATAGCACAACCGGCTGGTACCAAGGCAGATCCAGGGGCAAATACATTGGCTCCCCCATCACCTCTTGTACCAGTGCCAGAGCAAGCTGAACCCCTGGGGATGCAGGGTGAATGGGGGGAGGAGAAGGAATGCAGCAGCTTCATGCTCTCTTCTCCTCCTTCCCTCTGCTGGAAGGCCCCCCCCCAAAGCCTCCCCCTCCCAGCTCAACAATTTGAACCCATGACAGAGCCGTGCCCCACTTCAGGGTCATGCACTGCAGATTTAGGGAGGGGCTGTGGCTCAGTGGGGCTCTTTAGCTTGGAGAAACGACGGCTGAGGGGTGACGTGATCGAGGTGCATAAGATTATGCCTGGGACAGAGCAAGTAGAGAAAGAAGTCCTTTTCTCCCTTTCTCACAAGACAAGAACTTGTGGGCACTCCATGGAATTGCTGAGCGGTCGGGTTAGAACGGATAAAAGGAAGTCCTTCTTTACCCAAAGAGTGATGAACACTTGGAATTCACTGCCACAGGAGGTGAAGGCGGCTACAAGCATGGACGGCTTCAAAAGGGAATTAGATAGGCATATGGAGCAGAGGTCCATCAGTGGCTATTAGCCACAAGGTATGGATAGGGACTCTGGGGCAAGGGATGCTCTGTCTTCTTGGTGCTTGGGGGGGGGTCAACAGTGGGAGGGCTTCTAATGCCCTGGCCCCACTGGTGGACCTCCTGATGGCACTGGTATTTTTGGCCACTGTGTGATACAGAGTGTTGGACTGGATGGGCCTTTGGCCTGATCTAGCATTGGCTTCTCTTATGTTCTTATGGTAGAGCATCTGCTTGACATGCACGAAGTCCCAGGTTCAATTCCTGGTATCTCCAGTTAAAAGATCTGGCAATAGGTGATGGGAAAGATCTCTACCTTGAGACCCTGGAGAGCTGCTGCCAGTCTGAGTAGACAATACTGCTGACTTCGATGGACTCCGAGGGTCTGATTCAGTAGAAGGCAGTTTCCTGTCTGTTCGATTTGAGAGCCGCTGGTTAAGTCAGTTGATAGTCCCAAGAAATCCAGCACAGGACCAGACATAACAGATTCCACTGTCTGTCGGCTACTGAGTTCATGCCCACGCCATCCTCCAGTGTGCCGTTCATGCTTCGCCTTGTTTCTCTTTCTCAGCCGTTGCTGCCGACCAGCCTCGTCGGGTGAACGGAGTCCTGGGGGGCTCGGTGGTTCTCTCGGCAAGCCAAGTGGGTGTGACTACTGGAGATTGAGTGGAGCTTCCAGGCCGGGTCGGGACCAGCGCTCCTCATTGCTTTGTTTCGGGATGGCAAATTTGACCGCCCGGATCCCAGCGACCGGTTCGAGGAGAGGATTGAAATGTTCAACGAGACGCTGAGGATCAAGCCCTTGGAGCTGAACGACAGCGGCGTCTTTGGGGCCCGGGTGAAGATCTTCCCGGCCCTTGTGGAGGACCAGCTCTTCCAACTGATGGTCTACGGTAGGTGAGCCTTTCACAGCCCTGCTGAGTGCCTCACAACAAGGCCCTACTGGTCAGGAATATCGTAGTTGTGGTAGTTCCCGCGTTGGCAGCAGGCTGGACTAGATGACCCTGGGGGTCTCCTCGAGAGCTGAGATTAAATAAATGAGCCTCTAAAGTGGATCTTGGGATTTTGCATCCAACGTCACAAAAAGTGCTTCCCAACAGAATTACGATTTTTAAAAGGAGAATCCAGGCTTCTTGCTGTGCTCAGACATTACTTGTAGACTGATTACTTGGAGAGGAGCTGCGGTGGCTCGAGTGGTTAAGACGCTGAACTGCAGGCTGTGGAAGGTCGGTTGTTCAGCAGTTCGAGACCCGAGTGTGCCGCATGACGGAGTGAGCTCCCGTCTCTAGTTCCAGCTCCTGCCAACCTAGCAGTTCAAAAGCAAGAAATTGCAAGTAGATAAATAGGGACCACTTCGGTGGGAAGGGAACAGCGTTCCGTGTGCCTTGGTGTTTAGTCATGCCGGCCACATGACCACGGAGACGTCTTCGGACAGCGCTGGCTCTTCGGCTTGGAAACGGAGATGAGCACCGCAACCCTAGAGTCGGATTTGACTGGCTTTCGAGCAAGGGAACCTTTACCTTTATTTTTTAATTACTTGGAGAGGATAGATTCAGGTGGGTAGCTGTGTTGGCATCTTTAAAACCAACAAAATGTAATTCAAGGTATAAGCTTGAACATGGAAGCTCATGCCTTGAATTAAACTCTGTTGGTCTTAAAGGTGCCACCGGACTCCAACTTTGTTCTACTTGTAGAGGAGCCAGTTTGGTGTAGTGGTTAAGAGTGCGGACTCTAATCTGGGAGAACTGGGTTTGATTCCCCACTCCTCCACATGAAGCTGCTGGTGTGACCGTGAGTCAGTCACAAGTTCTCTCAGAGCTGTTCTCTCAAGGGCGGTTCTCGGGAGAGCTCTCTCAGCCCTACCGACCTCACAGGGTGCCTGTTGTGGGGAGGGGAAGGGAAAGGAGATTGTAAGCCGCTCTGAGACTCCTTCAGGTAGTGAAGGGTGGGAAACAAATCTAATCTCCTCCTTTGAGGAGTTTAATCAAGGTATAAAGATGAATGCCTTTTGCAGATTTTTCTTGGACGACCCACACCTGTTAATATGCTTTAGGGATCATAGCTCAGTGGTAGAGCAGAGGGTGTCTTGTTTACAAGCAGAAGGTCCCAGGGTCGAGCACTTGTTCAGTGATCTCAGAGACCTTGAAGAAAAGAAGAAGAAGAGAAGAGGAGATAGGATTTATACCCCGCCCTTCACTACCCAAAGGAGTCTCAGAGCGGCTGACAAACTCCTTTCCCTTCCCCTCCCCACAACAGACACCCCGTGAGGCAGGTGGGGCTGAGAGAGCTCTGGACAGAAACGGCTCTTTTTCAAGAACAGCTCTTATCAGAACTATGTCTTGCCCAAGGCCACCCAGCAGCTGCGAGGGGAGGAGTGGGGAATCAAACCCGGTTCTCCCAGGTTAGAGTCCGCGCACTTAACTACCACACCAAACTGGCTCTCACTGCTGCCACTCAGAGGAGATGGGATTCCACTCGCTGGATCAATGATATGATCCAGCATAGCCCACAAGCAACTGGGACTCGCTTCAATCCAAGCAGCTGCTTCCTATGGGGCTGTGATTCCCCTGACATGGGGCCCTTGGATGCCATGGTTGGTGCCCACCCGTGCGTCTCCTGGCTCTTGCTTCCTTCAGCCTCAGAGCAAAGGGCCAGTCCTGGCTACCCTCCGTCTCACTGAGATGGCCCCACTGAGAGCCAGTTTGGTGTCGTGGTTAAGTGCGCAAACTCTAATCTGGGAGAACCCGGTTTGATTCCCCCACTCCTCCACTTGCACCTGGCTGGATGACCTTGGATAAGCCGTAGCTCGGATAAGAGCTGTCCTTGAAAAAGAGCAGATCTTGAAAGAGTTCTCTCAGCTCCACCTACCTCACAGGTTGTCTGTTGTGGGGGCGGGGAAAGGAAAGGCGAATGTAAGCTGCTTTGAGACTCCAAGTGAAGGGCAGGGTAGAAATCCAATCTCTTCTTCTCTTCTTCACTGTTTAATGATCTAGGAGAGTCCCAGAGGCAACACCCTTGTGCCTGCAGGCAGCACCTGCTGGGGAAATGGCTGCCTCCGCCCCAGGAAGGCACTTGGCTTGGAAAGCTTCCAGCATTTGGTGACTGGCTCCCGCCCCGTTTGCAGAATTCCCAAAGTGCCCAACAGATTGGGGATTTCTGCTACAGGGGCTCCTCTGGTGGAACCCAAGATCTCCTTTGACTTGAGACATTTCCATGTGCCTACAACAAAAACAATAATACAGTCCACAGTAAACAATGGCCAAAAAACCCCAGCAAATAACAACTGTGTACTGCACAAACCCGCACCAAAGTTAACAAAAAGAGACTTCAACACAAAGGTAATTCAACACATGTAATCCATCATAGGAAAATACAAAAGTCCACAATATCCCAAAGGGAAAGAACAAAGTCCAGAATAGAAATTTCTCAAAGTGAAACAATGAAGTCTGGAATAGATATCAACACTTTTCCTAGGTATTGTTCAGTGTTTCGGACTTCTGGTCCTTCCTCAGGAACAAAAAGCCACTACAGGAAGTCTCATTGCAATTTCTTAACAGTCAAACTTTATTCAGTTTTTATATGGGCCAGGTCTCCTAAGCTTTAGAAAGCACCTACCAAGGTTGCTATTATGTAAGGTGGACCAAACATGTTCTTTCCCTTTGGGATATTGTGGACTTTTGTATTTTCCTGTGATGGATTACATGTGTTGAATTACCTTTGTGTTGAATTCCCATGTGCCTGGCAAGAAATCACCCTGTTACATTTCCTCCAGGCTGCTGCATCCAACGGATGCTCTTGGCACGGACAATTCCAAATTTGCAGGCCCCGTCCCTGGGCCAGGAAACAGGGTGCCTTCAGGGACATGAATTCGGCACTCTTTATAGCAATGCTCTGCACTGGCTGGATCTCACCATGCCTTTCCCCCCCTTATTTTGACCCCCCCTCCCAGAACCTGTTCTGACTCCCCGCATCCAGAGCCAGCTGATCTCCAGCACGCCCAGCGGATGTAACGTGACGCTTCAGTGTCTGTCGCCTGGAAAGGGCCGCGTGAACGTCACCTGGAGGAAAGGGAACCCGATCCAAGACCTCGGCAGCACAGACAGATACCAGGTCTCTCCCGACGGCAGGACCCTCCGGCTCTCTTTGCAGCCCACCTCTCTGAACACGACCTACTCCTGCATGGCCAGCAACCCCATCGAGCACAAAATCGTCTACTTCGACCTGCAGAGGATCTGCCAGAGCGGAGGTAGGGGAGACGAGTGGCCCACCTTTGCTCTCCCTTTGTGTGTGTGTCGGAGAGGGGAAATCTTTGCTTGGGGCAAAGTATGCTGCCATTTTTGACTTCTCTTGGCTTTGGGAGCAGGACAGAACAGGGTGTCGCGTACAGTGGCCAACTCCAGGTTGAGAAATCCCTGGATGTTTGGGGGGGGGTGGAGCCTGTGGAGGGACCTCAGCAAGATGTAAGGCCATGCAGTCCCCCCTCCGAAGCAGCCATTTTTTCTCCAGGGAAATCGATCTCTGTAGTCCGGAGATCAGTTGCAATCCCAGGAGATCTCGAAGGCTCACGTGGAGGTTGGCAACCCCAGGGTCACACTCGTCACTTCTTGGTACCCGAATCCCACGCGGTTTTTAAGAAGGCACAGAGTGTTTGGCTAACCTAACAGGCATCCCACAGCGACACTCAGTGGAGGGGAACCTCTTTTCCTTTGCCAACTGTCACCACTCAAGTTAGTCAAAGGCCTTCTCGTGGCTGAAGATTGCTAACCCATTAAGCCAGGGTCAATATTAGATCTAGAGAGCCAGTTTGGTGTAGTGGTTAGGAGTATAGACTCTAATCTGGGAAAACCTGGGTTTGATTCCCCACTCCTCCACATGCAGCCTGGTGGGTGACCTTGGGTCAGTCACAAGTTCTTTCATAAATCTGCAAATACCGTGCTACAGACGATTATAAAATACCTCAAATAATTATTTTTTTTGTTTTATATGTTTACAATTTATTCACCATATATTATTTATAAGCCTTAATACATAGAAAGAATAATATATCAAAGTATCGTCTCTTAATTATATAAAAATTATTTGAGATGTTTTATAATCGTCTGTAGCACGATATTTGCTGATTTTTTGGTATTTCCTACTTGCTGTGGGTCCTATTTTGGTTCTGACAAGTTCTTTCATAGCTTTTCTCTCAAGGGCAGTTCTCGAGAGAGCTCTCTCAGCCCCACCTACTTCACAGGGTGTCTGTTGTGGGGAGGGGAAGAAAAAGGAGATTGTAAGCCATTCTGAGACTCTGAGTGAAGGGTGGAGTATAAACCCAATCTCTTCTTCTAGATTCAATTTGCTTTCTTAATTTTTTCTGTCTTTTTTTGCTTTATTTAATGTTTTTACCCCATTTCCCCCTCTCATAAGGCCACCAAGGCAGCTAACAAATTAAAACAGACAAATTAAAATCTCATCTTAAAAGCCATTAAAACCAACATATTTGGCCCCTCTTAGTACGCATCATTTACCAAGAGACTTGATATTAGGTGATATTTTAGTTCTTAAATGGCTTTTGGAATTTAGCAGTGTAGCGTCCTCTTTTTGGGGAGGACTGTATTTCTCTTTAATATTTATATTTTGTGTTTACAAAATAGGTAGTTCCAGCTGCCACCAGGAATGTAAGGATTTCCAAACCTTCTGTTTCTCTTACTGGTAGGGTAACACAGGGTCTAGGCTTTTCAGGGATCTATGTGGTCCTGAGGAATGATTGATATGACTTCTGGGATATATTTAAATAAAATAGGATTTATTGAAAGAGGAACAAAATAAGAGGTTGGTTATTATGTAACTGGCTGGGAATAAGGTTCATGTAAATATATTTGTCAACTGTATCACACACACGGCCTTTTTGTTCCTTTACTTTTGTTTGTTTGACACTCAGTTCCAACATTAACAGGGATCACTCTTTCCCATAGTTAGCCACACAGGCTAAGGAAATATACGGCACTCTTTGAGATCTCACACAGAACTCTGAACACTCACTGACTGAACACCCTAATTGAAATCCAACTGACTTTCATAACTGTCTCTCATAACTGACTTTTCCTAACTGACTGACACTCACCCAGATCGGCTTCAAAAACTCCTCCCACACTCTCTCATCCTCCAATCACAGCACACTTGTCTCTCTCAATCACTCTACTCTGCATTCACTGCACTGCAACCAAACATTTAAAGACACACACACACTCTTAAAACAAGGAATCGTTACAAGCAGTATCCTCTGTATAAGTGTGCTTACATTCTTTGTATCTACAACTCTCAGGTCGTGCCCTTTTTAAATGTTACACAGAACAGATTGCTCAGAAATCTGGGCGAAGGGGGTGATTCTTCTTCCTAAAAGTCTGGAGTGATTGAGTCACCTGGATCATATGACTTTCTTCTCTTCACACTTCTCTCCGGCTGCTGCAGCTTCTGCAGTGACTGGAGAGACGCGCGAGGGAAACACAGGTCATAGGATCCAAGCTGGTTTCTCTTCCAAATCAGGAGTTTGCCTGCGAGCAATTTCGGGGTGTGTGTGCTTGCATGACACAGACACGGCTCGTGTTCTAAGCTGGCTGTGCTCCTCCATTTGTGCAGTGGACACGTCCTTCTCCAAGTCTGGCTACATGGTCTTGACCATCGTCCTCTTGGTGCTCAGTCTCGGCACTGCTTTCTGGTGCTGGCGGATCAACAGTGAGAAGTCGGCCCAGGCAGGTGAGCCCCGTGTCTCAGTCCGCGTATTTTGGCCTTAAAGATTTCCCACAGAGTGGCTGTTTTTCTAAAAATCCAAACTCAAGGCTTCCTGGGGGTTCGGCAGACGTGGATGCATTCTGAATGACATGGTGCCAGTTTGGTGTCGCGGTTGGGAGCGCGGACTCTAATCTGGGGGAGCTGGGTTTGAGTCTCCACTCCCTTCCACATGCAGCTGCTGGCGTGACCTTGGGCCGTCCCAGGTTCTCTCAGGAGCAGTCCTGGAAAGAGCTCTCTCAGCCCCACCTGCCTCACAGGGTGTCTTCTGTGGGGAGGGGGAGGGAAAGGAGATCGTAAGCCACTCTGAGATCCCTTTGGGCCGTGAAGGGTGTGGTAGAAATCCTCCTCCTCCTCTTCTTCTTCTCCTTCTTCTTCCCCTTGACTTGACAGGCTAACACAGAGCTGGGCTGGCTGCCCTCTTCGTAGTGGATTCTGGATTCGCTGCCGCACTTCTGTGTGTTAGCCATAAACATAAGGACATAAGAGGCCAATGTTGGATGAGGCCAAAGGCCCATCCAGTCCAACACTCCTGTGTCACACAGTGGCCAGAAATACCAGGTGCCCTCAGGAGGTCCAGCAGTGGGGCCAGGACATTAGAAACCCTCCCACTGTTGCCCCCCCACCCCCAAGCACCAAGATGACAGAGCATCACTTGCCCCAGAGTCCCTATCTATACCTTGTGGCTAATAGCCACTGATGGACCTCTGCTGTTAACATAAGAACCTAAGACAAGCCAATGCTGGATCAGGCCAATGGCCCATCCAGTCCAACACTCCGTGTCACACAGTGGCCAGAAATACCAGGGGCCATCAGGAGGTCCAGCAGTGGGGCCAGGACACCAGAAGCCCTCCCACTGTTGACCCCCCTCCCAAGCACCAAGAAGACAGAGCATCACTTGCCCCAGAGTCCCTATCTATACCTTGTGGCTAATAGCCACTGATGGATGTTGAGAAGTACATGATACTATGATGAGTTGATGCCATTTAGAGGAGTTCACTTTGAGTTCAATGACCCAGTAAAAGGCAACTTTGCTTGTTCACATGGTTGCTGGGCCAGAACAGAGATCCTTCTAGTTCTTCAGTCAGCCAGGCACTTTTGGGAAATCGAAATGACAACACAAAGGTACCTCATCTCTGCAGCTTCCTGTCTACTAGTCCTTGGTTATTTGAGTTTTATTGCTCCTGAACAGGAATATATTTGTTTATTTGTTTCTTTATTTATTTACTTTTGGCCAGAAATACCAGGGGCCATCAGGAGGTCCACCAGTGGGGCCAGGACACTAGAAGCCCCTCCCACTGCTGCCCCCCACCCCCAAGCACCAAGAAGACAGAGCATCACTTGTCCCGGAGTCCCTATCTATCCCTTGTGGCTAATAGCCACTGATGGACCTCTGCTATTAACATAAGGACATAAGGGAAGCCAATGTTGGATCAGGCCAAAGGCCCCTCCAGTCCAACACTCCATGTCACACACTGGCCAAAAATACCAGGGGCCCTCAGGAGGTCCACCAGTGGGGCCAGGATACTAGAAGCCCTCCCACTGTTGCCCCCCCCAAGCACCAGGAATACAGAGCATCACTTGCCCCAGAGACCCTATCTATACCTTGTGGCTAATAGCCACTGATGGACCTCTGCTCCACATGCTTATCTAATTCCCTCTTGAAGCCGTCCATGCTTGAAACAAGTGAAAGCCGAACAGTTTGGCGCTGAATCTTGCCAGCTCCGTTCCTCAATCACATCGCTCCATTAATTATATTCCTTTTTGCATTCTGTGGAAGAACTCTCAGTAAACATTTAAAAATGGGGGTGGGGTGTGTGGACCCTCTTGAGGTCTCTCAAAGACTGGGCTGCTGCTCGGGCCCCCGTCTGTTTTTCGACGACCCCAATCTGGAGCCTTGAGCACAACACCCGGCTTGCTGAAGATTCTCCACCGTCTCATGACCGGGAAGTGCTTCAGCCGTTGCGTTTGTGCACATTGGGGCATCTTTAGGGGAATCGCTGGCCAGTATGGTACCGTGGTTGAGTGGACAGACTCTAATCTGGGAGAGCCGGGTTTGATTCCCCACGCCTCCACTTGCACCTGCTGGATGACCTTGGGCAAGCCATAGTTCTGATAAGAGCTGTCCTCGAAAAAGAGCTCTGTTTCCATCAGAGTTCTCTCAGCCGTGCCTACCTCACAGGGGGTGTCTGTTGTGGAGAGGGGAAGGGAAAGGAGTTTGTAAGCCACTCTGAGACTCCCTTGGGTAGTGAAGGGTCGGGGTACAAACCCAATCTCTTCTTCTTCTCGAGGCCCCCCTCCCTTAACAAGGTGTCTTTTCTCCCCAGCAACCATCCCCACCGTCCAAGTGGAGGAGAGCCCTTCAGACGCGCAGAACAGCGAGGTCCCAAAGAAGAGCCCCCCAGAAGGTAACAATAAGGTGAGGCTGTCCTGAGGCCTTCCCACTGGGCCGCTGCTCTGCCGAGTGGAAGGCGCAGCCGACCAGGTCCTTGTCGAAGAACCGGGCCCCCAGCTCGACAAGGGTGGGTCTCTCTCTCTCTCTCTCTCTGGCTTCACAGAAAGCAGAGGGCCTGCTCAGGTTCTGAAGGGTCAGCCACCTTGGGAATTCCTCAGGTCACGGCTCTCAAACTCTTTCACACTGTGAAGCCCCCTTTCCTGCTTGTGTTCTTATCTCCAGTCCCTCGGTCTCCAGGAAAATAACGCACAAAGAAGCCCCCAGAAACAGCCACTCATCACAACTGTTCATGACAAGAGCTGAAGGAACCTGGACAAGAAGCCGGAGGAAGCCACCTAGGCCCCGGTGAGTCTTTCCCAGCCTCCACCACCCTCCAGGCTGGCTGGTGCACACAGTCCCTGCAAAGAGCCATCCTCAGTCCTTGAGCCACCACGCTCTGGTCCAAGCCCCTTTCTGTGAGACTTGCGTAGCGGCCATCTGGAAGGGCCTACCTCCACACCAGGATGCTCAAGCTTGAATTCTGCTCACAGCTGTTGCCTTTGTATAGTGTGCGGCAGTACTAAACCTCTGAATGCCAGAGCCAGGAGGCAACATCAGGGGAAGGCCTCCCTGCCCTGTGGTTGGCCCTCCAGAGGAACTGGCTGGCCCCCGTGTGAGACAGGAGGCTGGACTGGAGGGACCCTCCCTGGTCTGGCCCAGCAGGGCTCTTCTGATGCTCTCCTCAGGGGAAAGCCTCGGCCTCTCTGTCCTGTTGTTGGCCCTCCAGAGGAACTGGCTGGCCCCCGTGTGAGACAGGAGGCTGGACTGGAGGGACCCTCCCTGGTCTGGCCCAGCAGGGCTCTTCTGATGCTCTCCTCAGGGGAAAGCCTCGGCCTCTCTGTCCTGTTGTTGGCCCTCCAGAGGAACTGGCTGGCCCCCGTGTGAGACAGGAGGCTGGACTGGAGGGACCCTCCCTGGTCTGGCCCAGCAGGGCTCTTCTGATGCTCTCCTCAGGGGAAAGCCTCGGCCTCTCTGTCCTGTTGTTGGCCCTCCAGAGGAACTGGCTGGCCCCCGTGTGAGACAGGAGGCTGGACTGGAGGGACCCTCCCTGGTCTGGCCCAGCAGGGCTCTTCTGATGCTCTCCTCAGGGGAAAGCCTCGGCCTCTCTGTCCTGTTGTTGGCCCTCCAGAGGAACTGGCTGGCCCCCGTGTGAGACAGGAGGCTGGACTGGAGGGACCCTCCCTGGTCTGGCCCAGCAGGGCTCTTCTGATGCTCTCCTCAGGGGAAAGCCTCGGCCTCTCTGTCCTGTTGTTGGCCCTCCAGAGGAACTGGCTGGCCCCCGTGTGAGACAGGAGGCTGGACTGGAGGGACCCTCCCTGGTCTGGCCCAGCAGGGCTCTTCTGATGCTCTCCTCAGGGGAAAGCCTCGGCCTCTCTGTCCTGTTGTTGGCCCTCCAGAGGAACTGGCTGGCCCCCGTGTGAGACAGGAGGCTGGACTGGAGGGACCCTCCCTGGTCTGGCCCAGCAGGGCTCTTCTGATGCTCTCCTCAGGGGAAAGCCTCGGCCTCTCTGTCCTGTTGTTGGCCCTCCAGAGGAACTGGCTGGCCCCCGTGTGAGACAGGAGGCTGGACTGGAGGGACCCTCCCTGGTCTGGCCCAGCAGGGCTCTTCTGATGCTCTCCTCAGGGGAAAGCCTCGGCCTCTCTGTCCTGTTGTTGGCCCTCCAGAGGAACTGGCTGGCCCCCGTGTGAGACAGGAGGCTGGACTGGAGGGACCCTCCCTGGTCTGGCCCAGCAGGGCTCTTCTGATGCTCTCCTCAGGGGAAAGCCTCGGCCTCTCTGTCCTGTTGTTGGCCCTCCATAGGAGCTGGTTGCCCACTGTATGACAGACAGGAGGCTGGACTGGATGGACCCTCACTGGTCTGACCCAGCAGGGCTCTTCTGATGCTCTCCTCAGGGGAAAGCCTCGGCCTCTCTGTCCTGTTGTTGGCCCTCCAGAGGGACTGGCTGGCCACTGGGTGAGACGGGAGGCTGGACTGGAGGGACCCTCCCTGGTCTGACCCAGCAGGGCTCTTCTGATGCTCTCCTCAGGGGAAAGCCTCGGCCTCTCTGTCCTGTTGTTGGCCCTCCAGAGGGACTGGCTGGCCACTGGGTGAGACGGGAGGCTGGACTGGAGGGACCCTCCCTGGTCTGACCCAGCAGGGCTCTTCTGATGCTCTCCTCAGGGGAAAGCCTCGGCCTCTCTGTCCTGTTGTTGGCCCTCCAGAGGGACTGGCTGGCCACTGGGTGAGACGGGAGGCTGGACTGGAGGGACCCTCCCTGGTCTGACCCAGCAGGGCTCTTCTGATGCTCTCCTCAGGGGAAAGCCTCGGCCTCTCTGTCCTGTTGTTGGCCCTCCAGAGGGACTGGCTGGCCACTGGGTGAGACGGGAGGCTGGACTGGAGGGACCCTCCCTGGTCTGACCCAGCAGAGCTCTTCTTATGTTTAGGGCAGAGAAATGAAAATAATTCTTCATGAGTGACGAAATTCTCTACTAGAGGATGCAGTGATGGACACCACCATAGACAGCTGTAAAAGAGGGTTAGATAAATTCATGGAGGAGGGAGAGGTCTGTCAGTGGCTGCAAGCCACTCACGACTAAAGGGAACCTTCACGTTCAGAGACAGTCACAGTACAATCCTGGGGACACTTTCCTGGGAGCAAGCCCCACTGAATAGGCCACAGTGGAATTCAGAGTAGACCTGCTTAGAATTCCTCTCACAGCCTCTGAACCCCAACGGCAGGAGGTAACGTCAGGGGAAGGCCTCGGCCTCTCTTCCCTACGAGAGCTAGCTGTGGTGAAGTGGTTAAGAGCAGCGGATTCTAGGCTGGAGTACTGCTTTTTATTCCCCATGTCACCTCTGCATGAAGCCCGCTGGGTTATCTTGGGCTAGTCCCAGTTCTCTCTCTCAGGACTGTCTCTACCCGCCTGCCTCATAAGCAGTGCTCCCTCTAAGCTGTGGAGTCTTATTCTACTTTGTGAGCTATGGGCATTAAAGTTGTGAGCGAGCGATTGGGCTGCTGCATCTGTTAGTTTGCTCTGGAGCCGCATCCCTTCCTGAGTGAAGACAAAAAGGTGTGAGCCAGAGGCTAAAAAACTGTGAGCTAGCTCACACTAATTCAGCTTAGAGGGAACACTGCTCATAAGTGCTTGTTGTGGGCAGGGGAAGGTAAGGCAGTTGTAAGCTGCTTTGAGACTTCTTAGGGTAGAGAAAGGTAAAGGTAAAGGTAAAGGTTCCCTTGCTCGAAAGCCAGTCGAATCCGACTCTAGGGTTGCGGTGCTCATCTCCATTTCAAAGCCGAAGATCCAGCGCTGTCCGAAGACGTTTCCGTGGTCATGTGGCCGGCATGACTAAACACCAAGGCGCGCGGAACGCTGTTACCTTCCCACTGAAGTGGTACCTATTTATCTACTTGCAATTTCTTGCTTTCGAACTGCTAGGTTGGCAGGAGCTGGAACTAGAGATGGGAGCTCACTCCATCATGCGGCACCCGGGTCTTGAACTGCTGAACTACTGACTTTCCACAGCCTGCAGTTCAGCGTCTTAACCACTTGAGCCACCGCAGCTCCTGAGGGTAGAGAAAACCAGGATATAAAAATGAACTCTGCTTCTTCTTGGCCCTCCAGAGGACTAAATGGACCACTGGTCTGACCCAGCAGAGCTCTTCTTAAACTTGGTGGCCGTGACCGCCGTTCTACCTGTACAGCCTTGCAAAACCCACCCCGCTCCATCCCAAGTAACTCCACCAATCCTGTTTTTTTTACATATCCTGTTTCTTGAAACTCTCACAGATGGTTGCTGGATAGCTCCATCGACTCCAAGGCCCTTATAAACACGAGATACACTTTGGTGTGGTGGTTAGGAGCACGGACTCTAATCTGGGAGAACCAGGTTTTATTCCCCAGTCCTTCGCATGCAGCTGCTGGTGTGTCCTTGGGTCAGTCATGAGTTCTCTCAGAGCTGTTCTCAAAGGCAGTTCTCGAAAGAGCTCTCAGCCCCAGCTACCTCACAGGGCGTCTGTTGTGGGGAGGGGAAGGGAAAGGAGATTGTAAGCTGCTCTGAGACTCCTTCAGGTAGTGAAGAGCGGGGAATAAATCCAGTCTCTTCTCCTCTTCTTCTCTCTTGCTGGTCTTTTCTCACATCCTCTGAGATCTAGTTCTGAAGATGTGCCTGGAGAATTCCTGGCACAGATATAAAGACCATAAATAAAAACAACTCTTGTTTCCCAACAGGAGCCAGCAAAGAGAGACTTTGTGAGGATCGCTACCGGGACTCAGAGAGAACTATGAACTAAACCCCCTGAGTATTACCTGGAACGTCCCAATCCTGCCCTTTTGGCACAGAAAGGGAGGGAACTTCTATGCCTGGACCAAGTGTTCTTTCCTACCTTCTGCTGGGGAAGTTTACTGCCTGCCAGAAGCCCTCGTTCCCAGCAGGCGAAGGATGTGTCTTTCAGGAGCTGATTCGAACCTTGGGAGCATGGCATCGTATCAAATTTTGTCAACCACACAGCAAACCATTTTCTGGAAGGAAAGACACACACCACAGAGTTGAGCACAACCGTTCCCCCCCCTGTGTTAGTGTTTTCAGATGTGTGTCTCCATATTGGATCCGAGTGGCTGAGAGGAGGAGGAGGCTGTTGGGTTTCTGGTCATCGGGCTCCAGAAGAAGAAGCCGTTTTGATCTGCGGGAGTATCTCTGTGCACTGGGGTGGGGAAAAGGCTCAACGGTGTGCCACCGTGAGAGTAACAGGAGGGCCCAGTGTATCTGGACTAACAAACCCATGGGAAATAAGCTGGTCCACAGCTGTTGGCCATGATGGAGAACAGATGTGACTCCAGTCTCAGGATATCTTCACTTCTCCGATTGCTAGGACTTCAAAAGATAGGGCAAAGTGCAGTCCACACCTTATGCTCCCAACACAGGTTTCCTTGGATTCATAAGAGGACAGTTGGAGCGTGTGGATCATGCAACGGACTTTATAGGGCAGCTCTTTTACACAATACGTTAAATAAAATACGTCCACAGGATGGGTGGCCATGCCTACAGTCTCTCTGATAAACTCTCTCAGCCTTCCGAACTGGGCCAGTGGGTATGGTTCCAACCTCCAGGTGCCACCTGGTGATCTCCTGGACTTACAACCGATCTTCCAGACCTGCAGAGATTAGCTCCCCTGGAGAAAGCTGCTGCTTTGGAAGGTGGACTCTTTGGCATTCTGTCCTGGAAAGGTTCCTCCCAGGCTCCACCTCCAAATCTTTAGGGATTTCCCAGCCT